ATTGATGGGAGGGGAATAAGTTTGAAGATGGAGATCAAAGAGCAATAAATCAAGGATCCTTAAGTGAGTTCAAAAAATAACATGTCTGCTAGTAATTGACTGAAATGGCAAACGAATACATAAGTAATACATCAGACCGAGATAAGTGCGAAGAAAAATCAAGCAGAGTAGAGGAATAGCAAATTTGGGAAGTAGAATGGGAAGGCTGCTGTCTGCTTGGCATAAATGAAATTTTTTAGCCCTAGAAATACGTAGTTATTAGACGCCTTATATACTTTTTTGAAAAGTGCTGTTAAAAGTAGCCTTTTGTGCATTCAGAGTCGTGCAGCTCAAGTCCCACAGGCTGTCTGAATTCCCCCAAGGGGCCCCTGCTTTGTCCCAGTGTGGCTCCCACGCCAGGGAGCTCACTCCCTTCACGATGACCCAGGCCCTCAGCAGAGCCCAGACCTCCTGCTGGGTTAGGGGCCCAGAAAATGGTCTAAGAGAAAGACTTTCCTGCCTGCCACTCAAGATCGTTTCCTTGGGACTGAGCAAAGAGTTGTTTCGTGTATCTTAATTTTTCAAGGTAAAGAAGTCAGGCTGACTGCTGATGGAGATCAACGCTGGGAAGCCTGAAAAGAGATTAATATAGCCTCTCAGACCCCCAGATCTCCCACACTCCCACCCAGGAGAACTTGATGTAGGCATTCCACAGCAGGCCCCTGATGTCCTCAGCTTCTGCTGACACCAGGGCACAGGGTGACTAGGAATCAGGTGAATAGCTGACCAGCCCCTCTGACTCAGTTGAGAGTCCCAGGGCCCCGTCTCCAGGCGTCTCTCGTACCTGCAGTGGGCTCATTAAGAGCAGACTGCAATGAGCCTGCTTGCTTTCAACCCTGGGCTCCTACTATACTTCCTGGCTGTGTCACTCTGGGCAAGCTGCTTCACCATTCTGTGCATCAGTTTCCCCATGTCAAATGGGGATGACGATCACATTGGCGATACTCAGTTTTTGTGAGGCTTAAATAAGTTGATATATGTAAAGCATTTTATACCCGTGTGCCAGGCACTGCTCTAGAGGTCAGTGATTCATTTACAGCGGTGCCTGGCATAGAATATGAACCCCAGGTGTATCAGTAATTAGAGGTCCACAAACCCTTATCTGACAATCTGGTGATTATGGTAATGATATGATAAAAGATGACGGGGTGACTATTCTACCTATAAAGAACTCCGGGGGGGGGGGTGTCCTGGTACAGCACTCCGTAATCAAACGCATTACTACTTCTACAGTAAAACATACAAACATTGGTACTAAGTGGCATAAATAAAGACTCTAACTAGCCAGCATTACTATTTCTACAGTAAAACATAACAAACATTGGTACTAAGTGGGATAAATAAAGACTATAGCCTTCCATTGGTTCAGGTCAGGGTTTACTACCAAGCTTTTCACATGACAATCGTTTGATTTTCAGAGCTTTCTGGATTTCAGAAGAGATGTTGGACCTATATATATTAAGCAAGGGGCAAAACCCATTGAAGTCTTCTCTTCCTTTCTGACTTCCGGACGTGGTTAATGACCAAATAAATAGTCAAAACCACTTAGGAGTGGAAAATAGGAAGCCCTTCAGGCATGGAAAATTCATGACTGCATAATTAATCTAATGCCAAATATGATCTAAACAACCCTTTCCTCCCCCTCCCCAAATACAGTGCACCATAAGATACTCAGTCAACCAAGTCATTTCTACAAACAGGTCGCAAGTAATCTTGAAGGGTTTTCAAAAGCACTTTTTGAATATAGGAGAAAATCCTTACGTTTTACCACAATTTTCACAGTACGACCTTATCTTTCCCACAGGAAACAGACAAGCTATGAAATGACAAATACTTGACTTAAAAACGTGTACCTTCAAAGCAAACCATATCCTCTGCAACCAGCCTAGGGGAGATGAGCCAAAGTTATGCCCAAGTGGTGAAGTCTCCTGCTACCAAAGGAATGTTGCTCCACGTTGCATTTTAAGGAAAGATCTGCAGCTCTTGAAGAGCTGCACAGTAACTGGTTCAAGATGTTGTCACTGCTGGTCAGCACTGGATAAAGGATTTGCACAAACCCATGGAAGCCGACTTCTCCCGCCTCTTTATTACCCCCATATGTGGTTATTTATCTTGCCCAACTTTTCTGACCCCTTTCCATTTATTTTATACTGAAGTATCGCTTTGTTCACACCCTGTGTTTACCACTCCCATGGTGATCTGTACACAAAGGCAAGTCAGGAAGACATGAAATGAACGGAGATACTTATGTTGCTTTATGGTTTTTTCCCCTTCTCATTATCCTCCTACTCAATGAGACTGTAGTGGGAGGTCTGAATGACATTTCCAAACCGAGAACTTAAAGCTACATTTCAACACCCAACCCCTCAGTTGTCATAGGAACAACACTAGGAGGCTTATCTAGGTTCTAACAAACAGCCACTTGTTTCGCGAGCAATTAAAGCTCCCCCCCCAGTCGAATATATACACACAGCCATATACCCCATATACCTACCTCCCCAAAATGTAATTGGACAAAACCGTACACCACACCGAAAACTTAAGAAACAAGCCCAAAGGGAACGTGTTTGGATCCCTGAATATGCAAATAGCAAATACTATTCTCAAGACATTATTTTAACTAGAATCCCTTCAGTCTGTAGCTCCACATGCCCACAAAGACATGTGCCTACCATCAATATCTTTTCCGAGTATACAAAAATATTAATACTCTCAGTAACCCCAAGTGGGGAATTCAGGGCAATGGTATTTATTGTACATGTATTTCTAACAATTAAGAAACTGATAACAAAAGAGCACACAGAATTAAAAACATGAGGATTTCTAAAGGAATTCTTCTGGGAGCTACTTTCTGGCATTTATTGTTTCAACCTGCTTCTATTATATTTTTGTCATGCAAAACAATGGCTTCTAAATGGATGAGTAAAACCTAAAATTTACAGAGGCTTTTTTTCCATTAAGCATAGCAGTGTTTAGCCAGGTTATTAAATCATCATGGTTTTGCCCAAGTATTCACATGAAATTCAGAGCTGAAAGTAATTGTGAATCACTGAACACAAGCTAACAGTCGGATATAAGTTACCTGTAAATATCCTAAAGCTTTGTCACCAGTTTTCTGTCCTCCAGATTCTAAACCCCACCTATTCAGGGGCTTCAGGGAACCAAGAAGCATTTTTCCCATCCTCGGCCACACCTTAATTAAGGCAAATAACTTGTAATAGTCACACGTTTGGATCACCAATCTGATTTATTGGAGGACCTGCCCTTAACGGCTATGTTCACCTTGCTTTTTATTTAAATCTTCGAAAATAAATCCTTGGGACGCCTGGGTGGCTCAGTCGGTTAAGCGTCTGCCTTCGGCTTAGGTCATGATCCCAGGGTCCTGGGATCAAGTCCCACATCGGGCTCCTTGCTGAGCAAGGAGCCTGCTTCTCCCTCTGCCTGCCTCTGTCTCTCTCTCTGTCTGATAAATAAATAAACTCTAAAAAAAAAAAAAAAAAAAGGAAGGAAAAAGAAAATAAATCCTTATGTGAAAGTCTTGAGAACTATTAGTCTGAAAAAACTGATCAAGAGTTCTCAAAGTGTGTAAGAAAGAAACAATTTATAGATCCTCCGAGATTCATCTCCCTACCCTCCAACCTCATCCCACTCCAATGCCAACAGAGAGAAACTGCAACACTGCTATCCTGTTTATTATACATTTCTCCCTTTCAAGTTAAGGATTTTCAGATTTTGAAATTAACAGAATGGGAAGCAAAAGTCAGACATACAGAGTCAACTTTCAGTTTGGCTTACGGTCATTAAAAAACAAACAAAAAAACACTGTATCCTATATAACCCCAAACTTACCACTCTGTCAATAACAGTTTCAGTTATACAGAGTCACATTCATAAAGGAACATCACCAAAACTACCTATATAATCGCTAGCAGTTAAATAACATTTTTTTCCATCTGATTCTATAAGTAGACATCACATGATTGCTTCTATTGACCAATAAGAAAACTGGTTAAGATCAGGTAGCCATCTACCCTAATTATATATATTATATATATATATATATATAAAATTATATTACTCCACTTTCCCGGCACAATCATTCTTAAAAAGCCAAATCAAGAAATCAGATAATATAAAATGCTTAATAGAAAATTGTGGTTTCTTACAGTTTACAAATAAGAACCTATTGTACATAACACAGGTATTCAAAGCTTTACTGTATTTTTCTGGAAATGTTCTGGAATGTAGGGGCAGCTGAGATTCAAGATTACAAAACTGAATTTGTTTCAGAGGAAGACAAACAGACGCGTGTCCACCAGTAAGAACTGCTAATCACAATCTCTCGAAACATGACAGACCATTTAGAAATATCCACCCTTTTGCTGTACTAATTGTAATCAAATAGAACAATCTTAAAATTCATGACACAAACGTAAAAAAGTCTATTACCAGCTTAATCTGCCCTTCACACAGCAGTAGGAAATGTTTCCAATGCATTACTTAAAACTTTCATTTTGTAGAGTTCTAACTAAAGGCTTGACATCCTTGGGTAAAGAGAGAGATAGGAGGGTGAACCGAGCAATGCCGAAAGCATCCCTTCAAATATTATACATACTATTCAGACTAAATGGACATCTATACCCATGGAATGTCAATGCCCCAACTCTACCAAACAACCCATTTTATTGGTCTCTCCCCACTAAAAAGAAAAAGGCGGGGGGAAGCCAACCAGTTATATTACATGTATTTGTCTAAACTGGTAGAGCCCAGCTCATCTTTGTTAATAACCTGGCTTCTTCTCAGCCTTTATACTATATTCTTGGGCTACTTCTTTCTAGAATTCCTCATTCCATTTATGTGTTCTCTGGTTCAACACAGTTGTTAGGGGTCTGTGAACAATTTTACAATTCCCACATACACCATATGATATCTATTAAGGAGCGATGCCACTTTTCACTTACCAATTCTGGATAAAGCAGTATTTCCTGGTGACAGAATGCTGCTGATTCCATTCGCTAAAACTCCCTCTTCACAGCTTGATAAATCTGATTATAAAATGTCTTTGTTCCAGATCACACGAGGCGCTTTTTCCTGCGAAAGTTTTCTAAAGCGTTAACTGCATTTCATTCCTGTTACAAAACGAATAAGAACAAGGGGGGGGGGTGTAGGAGGTGGGGAAGAGGGAGTAAGTCCACACAAGTTCCTGGCAAAAAAAAAGAAAAATTTAGCTGCATTTTTCTGAGTTTAATCAGTAAGCTATATTAAAGTGACAGTTACCAGTTCAGGGAGCCAGAGTTTGATCAAGTCAGCCACAACCAGTGTGGGTGTCTTCCACTGATGTGCGGACCCCAAGGAAGCAGTCACTTGGTCATCTATCACATGTGGCTGAATCACTGGACACCCGCCACCCACCCCCACCTCTGCCCCCGTTGAGCAGCACTCCAGGCAGGAGAGTGGCTGGACACCCGAAGCGGGACCTCTTATAGGGACCCGCCAATTAGCTGCTGACCAATCACAGGCAGCACCTACTACCTAAGTCACATGACAGGGCAGTCCCTATGACTGCAGGATTTCTGAATTACTGGGGTTACACAAAGGACACTCATTCAGGAAAAGAGAGAGAGAAAAAAAAAAAAAGCCATAAGCCGAAACAGAAAACGCCCAGGCTGTGACAACTCCGGCTTTAAAACAGAGAACACCCGAGCTTCACACAGACAGAGAGAAAGAGCCACAACCAAGCCAGGATGGAAATCAGAAGAATGCCTGGCAAATATTAAAAATTAATCCCAAAGCAGACGCTGAGTTTACAAACCCACTTCATCTATAAATATACTCCTCCTTCCTCTACAGCCTCCCCGACAATTTTGCATTCGAAACGGCTTTATTTTAAAAGGCTCCAGGAACCTCTCTCTAGAAAACCCGGTAGGAAAATGTGTAAGAGACATAAGTCCCCTCTCTTTCCATCCCCTCAAAATACCCCTGAAGGAGATTCAAAGTTTGCCACGAAAAAGTTTCTTAATCAAAGTGCATTTCTTTCAAAATGGGTGGGTAGCTCCGACAGAATTAAACACTGTCATGACAAATTTGCAGATTTGAATGGTAACTACCAAATCATATCTAGGTCTCCCCCCGCCCCCGTGCTCTCTGTCTCATGTAATCATTTTAGACTGCTCACATCAAGAACATTCTTACTAAGTAAATGAGCCCCCCACCCAATGAACTAGCTACCAATCTGTTTTTATTTTAACACCTCCAATTTATTTCTTAAATATTTATGTCCTAGGAAAAATTCAATTGTGAAAACCCCTACCATTTCTTTACCACCGCCCCCCCCCCAAAATGGTACTTACAAATGTTCTTTGTTTGGATCTGTCGGTTTCTCCCCTTCCCCCGACATCTGAAGCCAGAACATGGGCTCAACTTCATCCTTCAAACCTAAAGGCCCTATTTTGATCATGCAAGGCTGCAACAGCTCTTTCTCCGAGGCAAGCCCAGAACACTGTGCTGCTTGCCATTCCCAATTTATGGAAGGAAGCGTATGTCAAACAAACCAGGTGATGACTCACACAGCCTCCCCCAGCCACATTTTCCCTAGAATGGGAGGGTAGCCTAAGTGCAGCCCATTTGGCTGTGACTCAGTTTTATTAGACTGGTGATTGTAGTTAATCTGACAAGCTCACATTTTTCCTTTATAACTTGTACATTACAGGATCAGAACGCACGTTCTAAATGGGTTTCAAAGGATGGGATCCCGTAAATGAGAAAGTTGCAAGATTATTTTTAAGGTATGGCAAAGCTTTGGCTCTATTCCCAAATATTTAAAACTTCAGAGTTATCTGCTGAAAAATTTTATTACAACTGAGGCAACCAAACGTTTGAGTTCACACGACAGCAGTCAACAGGTTTTATACCTTTAGGTCTGCGAGAGGCTTTTTACCATGGGGGAAACTCAGACTCTTTCTGTCCTGAGGACCCAAGTTCAAGTCCAAGTGTGGGACCCACGTGGCAGGTTCTTCAGGAAGTGGTCGGGAGCATGAGAGCCACGTTGAGGCTTTCACTTTTGCATTTACTGCGATTCACATTCTAACCTGAGCGACTCACTTAAGCACACACGTACAATACAGCCACATCACACACACTCACACACACACACACACACACACACACACTCACACAGATCTATACAGTCCTTTAATCCCAACCTGCTACGAGCAGCGCAAGAAAAAATTGAAAATCATCAACTGTCATCTGTGAAAATTCCAATTAAGTAAATGGGCATGCCTAAAAGTCTTCCTCTTCAGGAAAAAGTTTACTACCAAGATGGGAGTGGCATTACATGGAATAAATTGTTCCCAGGTATTACGCAGACAGGAAGAACACAGTAATAAGAAGTGCAATTCCCCACACAAAAAATCTGGAAGGCTCGGCCTGAGCAGTTTCACTACAGTTATCTCTTTTCAGCATACTTCCTTTAACCTTGAGCAAAGTCAGCAACTGCCCGGACTAAGGCTTGGCATTTATTGTTGATTATGCCTTGATGGGGAACTTATTTTGTTACGATATAGAAAATACATTCTATTTCTAGAATATATAAAACTGTTCAAATATCTAATTTTCAAATTGGGAGACGAAGCCAGAGAAAGAGCACACGCACTGAGAACAGTGAAAAAGAGTTAATTCAGGAGTTGACTATTCACTTTTCAAAAGGATTCCCTGTAGGGTTTTACTGGAATAAACCCTACATTAAATTTACATATAGAATTGACTTTCAGAAATTAAACTCACACACTACAATTAAGAAGTGCATTTCCCAATTACACTTTTGAAGCCTTGGTATTTTAACTGTGGGTACATAGTTCTCGGTTATTAAAATGTATTCATACTTCAAAAGGGATGTATTAATCTAGCCGCTGATTTTTTTGAGTAAAATTTTATTGGCTTAAAGAAAGTTACCTTCCTACGACACATAGAGAACATAAAATCTATAATTACATGGCTTTCAATGGAAATAAAAACAGACTATGAAAACAGAACGTTAATAAAAATCAAACACCTAAAACTTTGGCATCTAAAAGAATCTATAACATTTTAAAAGCTTGGAGCCAGACTTGCTGGGATTCGAATCCTGGCTCTACCATTCCTAGCTGTGGTACCTGGGTTAAAAATATAACATATGTAGTGCTGAAGACAGTGTTTGCCCGACAGACAGTAAACACTATATATAAAGGTCGGCTTTTCTTTTTTCTTCCTATTTTTTTTTTTTTAAGGGCATGGAGCCCAACACAGGGCTCAAGCTCACGACCCTGAGATCAAGACCTGAGCTGAAATCAAGAGTCGGACGCTGAACTGACTGAGGCACCCCTAAAGGTTGGCTTTTCTATTATCCTTATCACCTAATCTCTACCCTTTGGCTGCTCTTTGTGCCATCACTTTAGAGTAATATACACCTAAGTCATTCCCCAAACCACATTTCTGCACGAGAAAAATAGAGTTCTATAACTTTTTTTTTGTTTAAAGAATCACTTGTAACCTATTTTACCAATGATGACAAACACTTCGCCAAGCCATATTTTGCTCCCCAAGTTTCAGTGGTTTAACATACTCCCCTGACTTTATACTTGACATCTGTTTGGGTCTTTCTGCTTAAACTTCTTGGAATTCCCAAAATCCAGTACAGAATTGGGTCAGGGCCAGCCAGGGAAGACATTCAAAAAGAACTTCCATTCCAGTCGGCCCAGATGGGTCAAGACATGGAAACTCATCAGCCAGAAAAGAAGGGGAATGGGTCCAAGACCAGGGCGAATTCTATGGCTCTGTCGG